GAAGCATATAAGATGTTTTTCATTGATTCCCTTTCAAGGTTGTTCTTTGGGCATTGGGTCAAATTGAATCTTTCACCTTTCACAATGGGAGCAATACTTGGTGAATAATCCTTCATCTGAAATCTTTCTAAAAGTTTATCGATACAGGTTTCTTGTGATAGACCTAAAGTGCCTTGAGGTCTATCTCTATGGGTCTTAATACTAATGACATAAGATGCTTCACCCATATCCTTCATGTCAATTTTTTTTAAAATGAATTATTTCACCTCATGCAACAAGCCCTTATTGTTGGTTCTAAGCAAAATATCATCTATGTATAAAACAAGAAAACATATTTTACTCCCACTGACTTTCTGGTTTATATATTGATCTATGGGATTTTCAAAAAATTCGAATGAATAAATCACTTCATAAAATTTAAAATACTATTGGTGGGAGGCTTGCTTTAAACCATATATAGACTTCTTAAGCTTATAAACTAAGTGTTCACTAACACTAGAGGAGAAACCTTCAGGTTGTTTCATATAAACCTCTTCCTCTAGATCTCCATTAATAAATATTATTTTTACATCCATTTGTTACAATTCAAGGTCAAAACGAGTAACCAATGCCAAAATGATATGAAGAGAATCTTTCTTAGATACGTAACCAATGCCAAAATGATATGAAGAGAATCTTTCTTAGATACAGGAGAAAATGTCTCCGCATAAGCGATTCCCTCCTTTTGAGTAAATCCCTTTGTAAATCTCTTTATAAATCCCTTTGCAACAAGTCTTGCCTTGTTTCTCTCAATGTTGTATAATGAATATTTCTTAGTTTTAAAGACTCATTTGCAGCCAATAACTTTTGCTTTATTAGGCAACTCTACAATATCCCAAACTCCATTGCTTTTCATAGAATTCATCTCTTCTTTCATGGCATCATGCCACAAAATTGATTCATTGCAACTTATAGCCTGTGAAAAGGTTTCAGGACCATTTTTGGCTCTAATATTATAGTCAAATTCTTGTACATATACAACATAGTCACTAGGAATTGTTGATATTTTATTTCTAATAAATCTTCTTAATATTGTACCAATGTTTCCCTAAGGAACTTGTGGTTCATCCAGTTGTTTAGAAGCTTGTTGTAATTCATGAACTGCTTGATCTATTAGAATATTGTCAATAACATGTGGAATCTTAATGATTGGTTGTTCAACACCAGTTTGTACTTGAGGAGTGCTATGAACTATAACCAATTTATCATTTGATATGGAAGGTTGAGATTCTATATGATTATGTGCAAAAACTATGTTCCTGAACTGATCGCTCCCACTAATCATGCCATCATCAAGAAATTTTGCATTTTTTGATTCCACAATCCTAGTTGTGTAAGATGGAAAATAGAACCTATAACCTTTGGACTTTTCAGCATATGTAATGAAATCCTACTAATAGTTCTCGGGTCCAGTTTCTTCTCTTATGGATTATATATCCTGACCTTAAATGGACATCCCCAAACATGTATATGTTGTAAACTTGATTTTCAACTTTTCTATAATTCAAATGATGTCTTTTGGATATTCTTAGTTGTAACTCGGTTTAATATATATACAGTTGTATTTAGTGCTTCAATCCACAAGAACTTGGGAAGACTGGAGTTGCTAAGCATACTCCATACTATGTTTAATAATGTTCGGTTTCTTTTTTCTGCAACACCATTCTGGTCTAGAGAACCAGGCATAGTGTATTGGGCAACAATCTCATGTTCTTGAATAAACTTAGTAAAAGAACTAAGTGCTTATCTATTTTTAGTATATCTACCATAATATTCTCCACCTCTATCTGATCTCACAATTTTAATTTGCTTACCACATTGGTTCTCAACTTCAGTCTTAAAGACTTTGAAGATTCTTTTTTGTTATGAAGCAAATAGATATACATGTATTGTGAATAATCATTTATAAAGGAGATGAAGTATTTATAACAATGTGTGTCTATGTTTAGATAATATATATCAGTATAAATGATCTTTAATATGTCTGAACTCCTATTAGCACCATTTTTAGATTTATTGGTCTGCTTTCCCTTAATACAGTCCACACAAGTCTTACAATCAGTAAAATCAAGAGTACTAAGTACCTAATTATTAACTAATCTCTTAATTCTCTCTATGGAGATATGTCCTAATCTCCGATGCTATAAAATAGAGGAGTCTTCATTAATATTACACCGTTTAGTGCCGGCGTGAATATGCATTTAACTTTGAGTGTCATTATTTTGTAAGAAAATACAATAAAGTCCATTAGACAAAATATCTTTCCCAATACAATCAGATTTATATAATAAACGAAATGAAATATCTTGAAAATTAAAGGAATATCCAACTGATATGAGTTTGGAAATAGAAATTATGTTTCACGAGAAACTTGGTACATAAAAGGTCATACCTAATTTTAAAACAAAATCACTACTTAAAATTAAAATGCATGTTCCAATTGCCTCCACGAGCCCATCTTATTACCTGATAAGATGCTTTGCTCACTTCCTACTAGCTTCCTTAGATTTTACATACCCTACAAAGAGTTTGTAATATAGATTGTTGATCCACAGTCAATCCATTAGGTGTTAATATTAACATTAGTTATATTAGATTCATAACACACAAACGAGGTTGGTTTACCTTTCTTTTCAAACCATTATTGGAATTTCATATATTCCTTCTTCATGTGTCCCTTTCTTTTATAAAAGAAACACTTTGCTTCTTTTTTTATATTAGCTTAGGGTGGTATTTTATCTTTTCCCTACTGATGAGATTTCTAATTGGCTTGATTTTTGTCAGTTTTATTCTTTCTGCGAGTGGTTACCACTAATGCACTCTCACCCAATTCTATCACTAGCCTCTCTTCTTCTTGAACACACATGGTCATTAATTCATTGATTAACCATTTGTCTTTATATATGTTGTATGAAATCTTAAAAGACTCGTATTGATGTGGAAGAGTGTTCAGAATATAGTGCACCAGGAAAGATTCTGACATATTAACCTCGTGTTTCTTAAGTTGAGTCGTAATATCTCGCATTTGCATTATATGCTCATGCACACCCTTTATGTTGGTGAGTCTAAGGGATGATAATTTCATTATTGGGGTACTTGCTAGTACAAGTGACGAATTGCTCATCGATAGTTTGTAGCAAGTCTCAGACCTTTTCATATTGGTCAATAGAACCATGTATGCTAGTAGTTATCTTAGTCTTGATAAACATCACGCTGAGCCAATTGGATCATTTATATAATGCAACCTCAGTTGGAGTGTTGGTATTAGTGATCGTAGGTGATTCGTCTTTCCTAATAGCATAATCAATATCCATCCACCATAAATGGAAGGAGAATCTTCTCCTTCCATATCTTATAGTTATTACCACTAAGTTCAGGAATGTCATATCGATATCAGAGAAATTAATAATTTGAGAAACTACATAAAATTAAATATGTTTATGTTAAAATTTAAGGCTTAATAGTTTAAATTATATGTTTTACCAATGTGTTATGACATAAAAATTACTTGTGGGCTAAATTCTTAATTCAAATAGATTCAAATGATCTTTATGATAAAACTATCAAATTATATTCCAATTCATAATCCTTGTGAGTAAATTATGAAAATAATTTGATATTTTATCCTAATTAATTATATGAATATAATAAAAGATCCTATGGGATAACAATTATTATATTGAATATAATCAATCACAATATGATATCTAATTACTTACTTATGTGATCCTTATATTAACTTTATATATAATTTTAATTAATTAAAAAATATTATGGCTAATTCTTAATTAATTAAGATTATATGGATCATTAGGTATTTTTAACATATAAAAATTAACTCGTAAGCATAAATTACTATAACTATGTATACATAATATAAGTATTTTACCAACTCCAAATATTGAAATGCTATATCCTCATGATTTCAACATGAAATATATCAAGAAGTTTCAAAAAGAAACCAAAATTAAGCCATATTCATAGTATAAAAAATAAAAACTATTTCATATCAAGGTAGAGGTGCTATGAAACAAACTGTTAAAAATTTTGATACCAAAATGTGTTTCTAAACCATTATAATATAAACACAAGAAAAAACTAATGCAGAAACCATTGTTGTTAAGAATTTCAACAACGGTTTCTTTTTGAATTTTAGCACTTCTTAGCTTAGAACTCTTATTTTAGATGGTGTAGAAAATCCTTTAAACTTGAAAGAGATGTTGAACTTGATGAGGGTAATAAGTACGATAAGACGTGCGTGACACCCGCTGACGCCCCGCGCCCTTGTTGGGCTGACACCGCGTGACTGACACGGGTCGTAACGCCAACCGAGGCCCATTAACGATCGCCCAGGTTCGACTCCGTACGCTACGCTAATAGTGATGTCAGACATCATCAGAAGGTACGATCCTACCCCCTCCGGGCAAGCACATCAGGTAACGCCGAACTCCCCTATAAATACCCTGGCATTCTAAACATGCAGGAGGGGGGACATCGATTAACTTAATCATCAGAGGGGTTAGGTAGAGCATCCCGACCCGACTTGTGTGCAGGGACGAAGGCGAGGCGCTTCTCTCCGGGCGCATTAGCAAGGAACCCCCTCCCGAAGGAATCGGCGACCCATCATCCGGACCCGAACCAAGCTACGTCGGCCCCGAGGCCACGACTAAGAAGTTGTTTACACCAACATAATGGCGCTAGAGGAAGGGCTGATGTCGAGGGATCGCCAGGCCGACCCGGCCGAAACCGCAGTCGAGGGGGCACGTCCGGTTGGGGTTCCACGGGAACATCCCCCGCGGACAACTCTCCGTAGCGAACACCCCGCCGCAACTTCAGAGCGCTATTGGTGAATCTTCAACGACCAGGGCTTGTTACCGCCCGACGCCCCCTCCACCGAACCGTCGCCCGTCTCGTCCGAAGCCTTTCTTGACCTTACCCATCAGGTCCAAGTTCTAACCGGTATGATACAGTCCATTATTCCACTCATCTCCGGAACGCTGCACCCCCCGACCGCCGAATCGGTGCGACAGCAGGAGCCGCCTGCTCAGGCTCAGGCGCAGCCCCTGGAGCTTCCCACATCACCTCGGGTCCCATCGTCCCCGCTCCTGGATCAAGTCATGACGGACCGGAGGGGCCACACCCAACCCGAGGCCTTTCCTTCGGCCTCGACGGACTCCCTGCGAGCCCAGTTGCTCCTCGTCAGTCAACGGCTTGACGAGGTATAGAAAGAGGTCCGCAGGACAAGAGGAGAGCTCGGGGAGGACATACATTAGGGATCCCCATTCGTCCCCGAAATATGGGATTAGACGGTCCCACAGAACTTTCGCCTCCCCTCTCTCGACACGTACGACGGCTCCACCGACCCAGCGGACCACGTAGCCGCCTTCCGCACCCAAATGGCACTATATGGGACTTCTGACGCTCTGATGTGCAGGGCGTTCCCCACAACACTAAGGGGACTAGCCCGCACGTGGTATGGCGGCCTGAGGACCGGGACCGTCGCCTCATTCGACCAGCTCGCTAGAGACTTCGAGCTCAACTTCCTAGCCAGCGCACGATCGAAAATCGTCTGTTGCCTTGCTTCTCGGACTACACCAGAGGGAGGACGAGTCCCTCTCCCACTTTGTGAACCATTTTGCCACGCAGATCCGGGGATTATCCGACGCTCACCCTTCTCTGTTGATGCAGGCGTTCATGACAGGACTACGACCTTCCCGATTCTTCTGGTCCCTCATTGAGAGACCCCCCTCCACGGTACCGGAGATGCTTCAGCGGGCGAACCAGTTCATCGCGGCTGAGAAAGCAGGAAAAGCACACGAGGGTTAGACCGGAGCCGGCTTGCGGGCAGCAGCCTGCCATGACTAGGCGTAGGTTGGACCAATCCGACCTACCCACTCCGAGGCCTCCTCTGCCCCCCCCAGGCGCATCTCGAACGGAGATATTTCTCCAGATAAAGGAGAGAGGGTTACTCAGGGCTCTCGTTCCGATAAAAAACCCGCGAGAGCTCGCCGACCAGTCCAAGCATTGCCGCTTTCATAGGCAAAATAGTCACGACACCGAAGACTACCGCAAACTAAAACGGCAGATCGAGGAGCTCGTCCGCGGGGGACACCTCAGTCGGTACATCCAAAATAACGGGGAGCCCTCGCCTCTCCCTGAGGGCCCCGTGGAGCACCACATCGATGTCATCACAGGAGGACCGACGGCTGGGGGAACTAGTATGTTGGGAAGAAAGGCATACGCCCGTTCCGCCAGGATCAACGCTCCCCAACATGGTCCCGACCCCAAGGTCGCATTCCCTCCTAAGGACGTCAAGCCACCGGAGCACGACGATGCGCTTGTGATAATGGCTCGAATCGCTAACGCCCAGGTGAAGAGAATCATGATCGACACCGGGAGCTCAGCCGACGTGCTCTATCTGGACGCCTTCCAGAAGTTGGGGTTAACCAAAGAATCCCTAAAGCCTATCTGCTCGGCGCTCACGGGGTTCACCGGCGATTCAGTCTCGCCATTGGGGACTGTTACCTTGCCCCTCACGTTGGGAGTGCCGCCCCGAACAAAGACGGTGATGTCCACCTTCTTGGTGGTAGATCTTCCTGTTGCCTACAACGCCATCCTCGGCCGCCCCACCCTCAACAAAATCAGAGATGTAGTCTCCACCTATCATCAAATGGTGAAGTTTCCTACCCCCACCGGGACAGGGGAAGTTTGGGGAAGCCCCCGAGAGTCCAGATGATGCTACTTGACGGCGGTCTCGCTGCACAAAAAGGTGAAGACCGACCAGCCTCTCGAGGACCCGAGAGAAGAAAAGCGGCCGACACCACACCCGAAGCCGATGGTGCCCACTTGCGACATGCCATTGATGGAGGATCGCCCGGATCGAACGGTCCGGGTCGGGTCGGAACCCCCCGGGCAAGAGCGAGAGCAGCTCGTCGGTATCTTACAGGAGAACGCTGATGTCTTCGCCTGGTCGCCATCCGACATGACCGGCGTCGACCTTGAGACCGCCCAGCATCACCTGAATTTATCGCTTGACGCCCGGCCGGTAAAATAGAAACCACGACGACAAGCCCTCGATAGGCAGCTCGCCGTCCGTGAAGAGGTGGAATGTCTATTAGCGGCTGGTTTCATCGAGGAAATCAAGTACCCACGATGGCTATCTAATGTAGTGCTGGTGAAAAAGTCTAATGGGAACTGGAGGATATGCGTTGACTATACGAGTCTCAATCGGGCATGCCCGAAAGACTACTATCCCCTCCCAAGAATCGATCAGCTGGTCGACGCGACGGTCGGGCAAGCCCACCTGTCGTTTATGGACGCCTTCTCCGGCTACAACCAGATCAGAATGGCGCTTGAAGAGCAAGAACACACGGCCTTCATCACCGATCTGGGGGTGTATTTCTACAAAGTCATGCTGTTTGGGCTCAAGAACGCAGGCACCACCTACCAGAGGGCCGTGAACAAAATGTTCGCCGCACAAATCGGACGGAACGTTGAAGTCTATATCGACGACATGATCGTCAAAAGTCACATGGCGGCAGACCACCTGACCGACTTGGCCGAAACATTCTCCACACTCTGAAAGTATGGCCTGCGGCTAAACCCGGCAAAATGCGCCTTCGTCGTGCATGAAAGAGGAATCGACGTAAATCCGGAAAAGGTTCGGGCGGTCATCAATATGCAGGTCCCTCGAACAGTCAAGGACCTACAGCGGCTAAACGGACGGCTTGCTGCCTTATCCCGGTTTCTGTCTCGGTCCGGAGATCGTTGCCTCCCCTTCTTTCGGGCGTTAAAAAACCCCAAAGACTTCCGGTGGACGATGTAGTGTGAAGAGGCTTTTGGACAAGTCAAGCGGCACTTGGCCAACCTTCCCCGCCTTGCTTCGGTCACTCTCAAGGAAAAGCTCAGCGTTTACTTGGCCGCCTCCCAGCACGCGGTCAGCTCCGTCCTAACCAAGGAAGTTTCCGGAGAACAACTACCGGTCTACTACGCCAGCCACGTCTTGAACGGACCCGAGGAGCGGTATCCGCCACTTGAAAAGCTCGCTTTGGCGCTCGTGGTAGCGTCCCGGAAACTACGCCCTTACTTCCAAGCTCACACGATTGAGGTAATCACTAACTAGCTGCTCCGACAGGTTTTGTCTAAGTTTGATATCGCAGGACGGCTCCTCAAGTGGTCAGTAGAACTTGGATAGTTCGACATACATTACGTTCCAAGGACTGCCATCAAAACCCAGTCCATAGCCGACTTCATCGCGGAACTGGCTGAAGGCGGGAATGGAAGTCCCGAGCAGACAGAGGAGGCCTGGGACTTGCACGTGGACGGCTCGACTACCTCTAGCAGCGCCAGCGCGGGGTTGGTACTCTCAGCTCCCGACGGACGCTCGTTCGAACGCTCCCTCTTCTTTGGGTTCCGGGCCACTAACAATGAAGCCGAATATGAGACGCTCCTGGCAGGACTCAAGCTGGCCCTTGAAATGCAGGTAGACGTCATCCGCGTCTTTACTGACTCGCAACTCGTCGCCGAGCAACTTAGCGGTGGGTACGAAGCCAGGGAACCGACCATGGCAAGGTACCTGGCAGAGGTAAAAAGCCTAGCCTCCAACTTCTCCCGCTTCACGTTATCTAAGGTGCCGAGGAGCCAAAATGAACGAGCCGACGAATTGGCGAAGATGGCTTCGGGATTGGACCACGGAAACCACTCCGGGGTTGAAGATATCCCATTCCGCACCATCTCAATTTCGTCTGTAACTCCGGCCAAAGCGCGCACCACGTGGGTACAGGAGATGCTGCTCTTCAAACACAACGGGATCCTTCCCGACGACGAAGCCACAGCGCGCCGCATTCGCCGAACACAAACATGGTATTCCGAGGTGAACGAACGGCTCTACAAACGGTCCTTCTCACAGCCCCTGCTGCGATGCCTCGAGCCTGGCGAAGCGAAGGCAGTCCTCGCCAAGGTCCATGAGGGGATCTGTGGGGAGCATATCGCTGCTCGAACCTTGGCCTACAAAATCCTTCGTCAAGGATACTACTGGCCCACCATGTCCCGAGATGCTAGAATCTACGTGCAGCGGTGCGGGCCCTGCCAGAGGCATGCCCGAATGCCCAGGCAGCCGGTGGTCCCCCTGTCCCCCATCGACTGCGCATGGCCATTTGCGCAATGGGGATTGGACCTCCTCGGCCCTTTTCCACTAGCCTCGGGGCAACGACGATATATCGTCGTAGGCGTGGATTACTTCACCAAGTGGACCGAAGCCGAGCCACTAGCGATGATCACGAAATGGCAAGTGAAGAAATTCGTTTGGAAAAACATCGTGACTTGATTAGGCTTGCCGAAGGCCATCATCACGGATAATGGATCCCAGTTCACCAGTGCTCGGTTCCAGGAGTTCTGCGCGAGCTACGGGATTCAACTAAGGTTCAGCTCTATGGCCCATCCCCAGACAAACGGGTTAGCCGAAGTTACCAACCGATCTATTCTAAATGGACTCAAAAGGAGAGTGTCAGCGGCCCAGTCAGCTTGGCTGGACGAGCTCCCCAGTATTCTGTGGTCCTTGCGGACCACCCCCAAGGCCGCGACCGGAGAATCCCCCTATAGCCTCTCATTTGGGACCGAGGCTGTCTTGCCTCCCAAGATGGTTTTCCCCACCCTGAGGACGGCAAGCTATGACGAACGAGTTTCAACCCAGGGACTGCGAGCCGATCTCGATCTGCTCGAGGAATGACGCGCTAATGTGCACCTGAAAGATCTCTCCTATAAAAGGGTCGTCGCTAGAATTTATAACCGCAAGGTGCGGCCTCGGCCAATTAAGTTAGATGACTTGGTCTTACGCAGGGCCGAGGTTAGTGAACCGACCCGAGCACGTGGGAAGTTAGCTCCCAATTGGGAAGGCCCTTATCGGGTGATCGAAGTCGTTAGGGTCGGTGCATATCAACTCGCGTTGATGCAAGGCCACGCTTTGCCAAAGACTTGGAACTCGCAAAACCTCATAAGGTTTTTCCCGCAATATGATGAGTTGGGACGTAGCAAAAGCGGGAGTTATGTTAACAAAAGATAGTACAAACACAATGTGTTAGGCAACCCACAAGACAAACGAGCACGATGAGAATAAAAACAGTCATGTCATTTTCAGGGAGCGCATTACATTTCACACCCGAACAACAAAAAGGGGGAAAGGAAAAAATATGTACAGACGAGTCTACATTTATTCCTCTAGAGCGTCGGGGCTGTCGTCAAAAGGGACTTCGTCCGGCATGTCGACGCCCATGTCCTCGAGGAAGGAGTCAAAAGGATCCTCCGTGACCTCCAGGTTAGGGTGGCACGCCTTAAAGCGGGCGAGGGCAATCCGGTACCCATACTCGTATGAAACCCGCCCGGTCCGAACAAGGCCAAGCTGAAAGCCCGAGGATGCTTTATAGTCCTCGATCGATTTCTTGTCCTTCTCCGGCCTCTGGCGAATCTCGACGGCTAGGGCCTCGGCAGCCCCCCGCGCTTCAGCACGCGACTCCTCTAGCCGACGGACTACCTCGATCGACTCCCCCCTTGCCGAACGAGCCTCGGCCACCGACGCCTTCAGATGCATCTGAAGCTCCTTATTCTTCTCCTCGGACGCCTTGAGCTCGGACCGGAGGCGCGTCGCCTCTACGTCCAAATCCGAGGCGCGCTGCTCAGCTACCACGACCACCTCGGGAGTCGCCCCGGCTCGGACCTCCTCAACCTGCTTCCGGAGGTCGGCGTTTCGGTTGCTCAAGAGGTCGATGACTCACCCCGCATCATGAACGTGGTCCATCAGCGCTGCGGCATAGTGAGTGCCCTGCAAATAAACGAGTCAAAATGAGAGCTATCCAAACACACGCAACCGAACCAGCGGAACGACACTCACCCATAGCAGCGACTTAGCAGACCTGACAAGAAGAACTTCTGAGGGCAAAGTATACAGATCCCGAGCTATGTCGGGATGAAGCCCTCCGCGGACAAACCCGGCCGCGGAATCCCCGTTGGCCCACACCCGGTTGCCCCGGGAAAGGCCCTCCCAACGGGCCGTCAGCAGGTCAGAGGGCTCGCCTGGAGAAAGATCGCCCATTGCACGCGCCTGGTAGAGCTCATCCTCCCCCCGGGCTTGGAGGCGGCAAAGCTCGCGGATGGAGGGCTCTCGAGGGGCCTTCCCCGCCACATCCCTACTTGGGACGACTTCGCCCCGCCCAAGGCTTTTCCTGGCGCGTCCGGCCGATACAACGACAGCCCTCGCCGGCTGGGCCGCTAACTCCCCAGAGGCTTTCACCGAGGAGGTCTTCGCCTTCTTCCGAGGGTGACCAGCCTCGACATCCATTGGGGCCTCCCTCGAGCCAGCCCTCACCTCGGTCGGTAGACACGCGGATGGGGCCGTCGAGGTCTTCCCCCCACGAAGGTCTCGGAGAACCACCATCTCTGCGCGAAAACTGTTAGGATCAATAGCGCTAAGGGGGGGGGGGTGAATTAGTGCAGCGGAAATCTTTTAACGATAAAATATGTTCGAACGATAAAAACGATTTCGGTGTGAAAGCCGATTCTAAGATTACTTTAACTTAAGATCAAGCGAGATGACGTTAAAATCAATCTATGAAGGCAGTTTGCAGTTATGATGAAAACCAGAATATAAGCGCAAACTGAAATACGACGTTCGTACGAAGAAGCTGATTTACGTCTAATTGTTGATTCGTAAATCACTTGATTAGGCGAGATGCAGTTTAAGCAAGGATATAAAGGCAGTTTATAGTTATGATTGAAATCAAAACGTAAACGCAAACTGAAATATGATGATCGTACGAAACAACAGATTTACGTCTAAACGCTGATTCGGAAAGTGCAAAGCTTGAAACCCGATCGTATATGCGTAGAAAGCAGTAAGCTTTAGAGAAGGTTTGCAGTAAAGATAATATGCTCAAAGTAAATGCAAACCGAGATTTAGAGTGGTTCGGTCAATCTTGACCTACTCCACTTTTGGCTTCCTCCACCGAAGAGGTCACCGACGTCAACTAGAGGCCTTCCTTCAATAGGCGAAGGCCAACTGCCCTTTTACGGTTTCACTCCTTTTGACGGGCTTAGGAGACAACCCTTACAGAATTTTCTCTCCTCTCTTTACAACTCAGAACATGGAAGAACAGAGGGAGAAGAACTTTTGGCCTTTACAACAATTTTGAGCTCTAAGAATCACAGAAAAAGATCAAGATTTCAGTGTAAGTTCATGCTCTTTCAGTGCTGAATGGGTGGGGTATTTATAGGCCCCAACACAGTTCAAATTTGGAGCTCAAAACTGTCAATTCCCGAAATTCCGGGATCAGGCGGTTGCACCTCCTGACTGAGGTGGTTGCACCGCCTGGCAGAGCTCAAAGACTGAGCCTCTGGGCGGTGCCACCTCTGTCAGGGGCAGTTGCACCTCCTGCCAGAGCTCGAAGACCAAGCTCAGGCGGTTGCACCTCCTGACCGAGGCGGTTGCACCGCTTAGCAGAGCTCGAAGACCAAGCTCAGGCGATGCCACCTCCTGTCATGGGAGGTTGCACCACCCAGTCTCGCTCGGAGACTGAGCCCAGGCGGTGCAACCTCCTGCCTTGGGCGGTTCAATCGCCTGGCAGAAATCAGGGTTCGAATGGGTTGATCCATTTAGCCCAATTTGGGTTTTTCAAGGGCCCAATTGCCCCAAGATTAAGTTAATGGGATCACCTCCCATTTCCAACTTAATCATTGTGCTAACTACGATTTTTCCTAAGACATTTACTACAACTTGCTCCGGTGTGTCAATCGCTTCTTCCGGCGAGCTTCCGGCGAACTTCCGTCGATCATCCGATGAACCCTCGGTGATGCTTCTGCGGACTTCCGGCAAACTCCTGGACTTGCGACGATTCACTTGGCGAGTTCTGACGAGCTTCTTTGGCAAGCTTATGGACTTCTCGGATTTGTTCCCTCAGAACCTCCGACGACTGTCCGAACTTCCGTCGAACTCTCGAACTCCCAACGTGATCATTGTCTTGACTCCGGCGCAACTCCTGCTGCATGTCTTACTTTCATTGTAGTTAATCCTACACACTTATCTCAACATATAGATTATATAACAAATGACAATTGACTTCATCATCAAAATCCGAGATTCAACAATCTCCCCCTTTTTTATGATGACAATTGATAATGGAGTTAACCTTAACTCCCCCTCTCTATATGCCATACTTGAGATAAGTCATTCTTGAATTTAAAACCTAAGAATTCAAGAGACATATTGATAAGTTAAAATCATTTGAACTTATCAATACTCCCATCATGATTTCCATCATGATGTATCTCTCTGAAGATGATATCAAGGCTTGACATTCATTTTCAAATATAACAAGTTTGAATGATGGTAATAGTAGCAATTTATCATATTGTAAGATATCAACATGTAAAACTGCGAAGTAAGATTTTGATATCATTACATGATGTACACATTTCAAATATTTTAGCAAGTATTGCATTTCATCACATGGTAAGATATCAACACGTAGATTTTCGATGCAAGTTTTTTGTTTGATATCTTGACACGATACAAACAAGGCATAATGCAAATTAATCATAGCATCTGTTCATATATCTCTTGGTGATGCAAGCATGGCATAATCATAGCATCAGTGTTTATAGCATCAATTCATATATTTCTCGGTGATGCAAGCATGGCATAATTATAGCATCAGTGTGTATAGCATCAATTCACATATTTCTCCCCCTTTGTCATCAACTAAAAGCATGGTAGTTGTGATACCAAGAGAACAGTATAAGCAAATTTTGAGCATAAGTGCGATAATTGTTCATGTCTTTACTGGGTTCATGTTATTTTCCAATAGTAAGTGATAGGAAATCAAGCATATAAAGGAAAGCATGATTCGTAGATTGCTTTGAATACTTCTTCTTTTTTATTTGTTATAATCTTTTTGCATGAAGGAGAAAAGTCATTTGTGATACCAGCTATTTGTGAGTTTACTTTGAGTCAAGATATGTGTGAGAAACAGCTTTTTGCAAGTAAAAATACTATCATCCATATTTCAAGATGGAATTCATAAGCAGGAATCATTTTATCAAATCCATCTTAGAAAAAAATATTTTTCATAAGAGTGTATGAGAAAATCCGATTTTTAGCATTACAATTGTTAAGCGAATCCGAAAATGAAATGAACTCTTTCATGCATTCGGACAAGACTATGCTACGGATTTTTAAATACAATCATGAAGACAAAACATTTTTGTATTCAACACATAATTTCCAACATGTTATTTAGGCATGTAATGGCAATCAAGTGATTTGATCATTCAATAAAGTCCGAAAATTAATTTTAACTAGTTTATGTATTCGGACATATCAACATTCCTAATTCTCTTCTTATGAAATCAAATTGTTCTTCACTTAGAGGTTTTGTAAAAATATCAGCTAGTTGATGTTTAGTATCAATGAACTCTATGATTACATCATGATTAGTAACATGATCTCGTATAAAGTGATGTCTAATATCAATATGTTTTGTTCTTGAGTGTTGTATAGGATTCTTTGTTAAGCATATTGCACTTGTGTTATCACATTTAATGGGAATATTTTTAAGATGAACTTTATAATCTTCTAAGGTGTTTTTCATCCATACAACTTGTGCACAGCATGCACTTGCTGCAATATATTCAGCTTCGGTTGTTGATAGTGCAACCGAGTTTTGTTTCTTAGATGACTAG